TAGTACAGTATAAGAGGCATAATTTGGGATAAGAGAATTAAAGCGATGGATACTGCTTAACTAGCTAGGGTTTGCGAACGGACTAACTAATGTGGCACAACAACATGACAAACGTCTTGAATGCCTGACCACAGGGAAGGTGAGCATCCATTGTTGGAGGATGGATGCTGTAGACTAATTATTCTGCGGAGTGATTTTCCGCAACAACTCTCAAGATCAAACCCTTTGGTCAATTTGTTAAAGACTTAATTCCATTCTCATTTTAAAATTCCTAAAAGAATAAAATACTTTACCAGTGATGACTTTCAATTTAATTCTTCATCCTATAGTCTACGTAGCGATGAATCCTTTCTCAGTGTTTTTTGCTCTGTACTGGAAAAATAGTTGGGTGAATCTGCCTCAAGCTAGAATTCTTAGGTGTCACCAATCTCTTTAAATACTGAGCTCAATAGCTTTTCTTAATCTATATGCAGGCAAACATAATCCTCACTTTCATGCTGACATAAAATCAATGTAGTTTGTATACTGAGCTGTCTATTTTCCGTCGTTTAGTGAACAACATGTCTTCCAAATAAAATCAGACAATATCTCCTTTAATTACTTAATCTGAATCATATCTCTTCACATACTCCTGGATTTGCAGTTCATCTCCTTATTCTATTGTCACTTGCATGAACCTGCCTCATAATTATCCTTGGGAAGTCTAAACTGACCTAATCTATAAGAAGGCTTGACCATTCTTACGACGGTTCTGTCATTCTGTAACATAATAGGGTGATACAATAGAGAAATCGATTTCTCATGTCACAAGGACTCGGACAAGACTAATTTTAATTTCATTGCTCTCAGTCAGTTACGTTTCATGAATTTAAGAATAAAACTTGGGCACTGTGGTAGAGTGTAATTCCATTATGGGTAAATTTTATTTTGATAGAGTCTCACAGTGTTATACAGTAATGTTTACTGATGACGTTTCGAGCACAATTTATCGCTCATAATCATATCAAGTTAATCACACGACTTCCTAAATTCATTTATATAGTTCCATTGTTTTTCACTTGATTTGATTGGTAGTATTATTTTCCATATCTCGGGTATGAGTGATGATTCATTCCTATTGCCTGTGTTGGGTGTAGATTCGATGAACAAAGATTCAGTAATCAACCTCTCTCTCCACCTACCTAGATTACTTTTTAGAATTTTAACCCTCTCCCACCCTATTGTGTGGTTGTGTGTTAATGCATGCATTGCAATTGCCGAGCTTTTTTCTAAATTACTTATCTTCTTGGGGTCAACCATTCTTACCTTAGCTAAATTCTTATGTTTTGACAATCTGACTACCCCTGACCTACTAGTTTGACCTATGTAGTTGACCTCACAGTCATTGCAGGGTATTTTGTAAATTATATTATTTTGTCTAATTGGGTCCACTGGGTCCTTTAACCTACAGAGCTTGTCCCTGAGTGAGTTTGTAGCAGGAATTAGGGTGGCATTTAAACCTACAAACTCACTCAGGGACAAGCTCTGTAGGTTAAAGGACCCAGTGGACCCAATTAGACAAAATAATATAATTTACAAAATACCCTGCAATGACTGTGAGGTCAACTACATAGGTCAAACTAGTAGGTCAGGGGTAGTCAGATTGTCAAAACATAAGAATTTAGCTAAGGTAAGAATGGTTGACCCCAAGAAGATAAGTAATTTAGAAAAAAGCTCGGCAATTGCAATGCATGCATTAACACACAACCACACAATAGGGTGGGAGAGGGTTAAAATTCTAAAAAGTAATCTAGGTAGGTGGAGAGAGAGGTTGATTACTGAATCTTTGTTCATCGAATCTACACCCAACACAGGCAATAGGAATGAATCATCACTCATACCCGAGATATGGAAAATAATACTACCAATCAAATCAAGTGAAAAACAATGGAACTATATAAATGAATTTAGGAAGTCGTGTGATTAACTTGATATGATTATGAGCGATAAATTGTGCTCGAAACGTCATCAGTAAACATTACTGTATAACACTGTGAGACTCTATCAAAATAAAATTTACCCATAATGGAATTACGTTTCATGAAATATGTTGACACTTTTGTGGGAGATAGCACTCTGTGACCCGAAAGTACTTGATTCTACATACTTTCTTGGGTATAACGTTTACCCGGATTGGTAACCATTCATTCATGTGATCTTAACAGAGCCTGTATACAACCTGATTCTGAGTTGCTGGTGTTCAAGAAGTTTAGTGCTTAAAACTGAATCAGTCACTTACTATATCAAGACAGGTTTGTCAACACGAACTCTCTCCCAGTTTCTAGCAACCAATTTGTATCGCATTGTAGTTGCTTTTCTTGAACTGCAGTTAAGTGAATTTTGTTTGGTATAACCGAAAGTGCTCTGAAAGCCTTGTAGTAGTGGGTGAAAAGATAATATGTAGATTTTGCTGCAATGACTGAATCTTGACTAGATTTGGAATGGTCGATTATTGATAGACAGATAGCATCTGACTGATTACACACTGAATCAGTCTGAAATTCTCAAACTAACCAAAATCCAGGATATGTTATTTGACGTCCGCAAGATAAACTCGGGCAGTCATGCTTCAGGCTTTACCTCACGATTTGGATAATCGATTACTAGAAAGGGATAATGGCCATTTGACTTTCTGACAAAGTAGTAGGTTTTCATTCGCATTATATTATTATGGATCACTTTCTTCTCAACACAAGTTTCGGATTCCTATTACGGTATATAGTTGAGAACTGGAATACTACTATTATTACTTCTAATTCACCTTATTATAATTTTCCGATGAATAAACACTTGTGGATTGTAGCAGAATAAGTAATTTAGTTAAAATAAGACGAATAAAATGTATTCACTCATGAACGGAATTTCTGCGGAAGACTCAGTCAATAACTAAGTATGATGCTTTCATTCAGTTTCTTTTCCGTTATTTTTGCTAGTATCATCACTCAGACTGTGACCACTTAGTCAGTTAGACTGCTGGACATGAAATCTCTTTAGGATGGTGGACTCTTTGATCTTTTATCGTGCACTGACCGGAATTCTCTTCTAAGAAATATTAATAGCGGAGATAAACCATAGCACTCCCTCCCCCGGTACATAGCTTTCAACAACCAAATAAAGTTATAGTTGGTACAATTAGATCAAATCATGCCCTCTCTTTTGGATTTGCTTGACGAGTTCCAGAAAAACTGAGTGTTTGATTACTGTTGGAATAACGGATTAATTAGAGTTACTAAAACACACATATGCAAGGGAGCTTGACAGGATAAGTGGTCTTTTGAGTGGCTTAGGATTTCAGAGTGGAAAAAAGAACAGAATCGGATATATAAATGGATTCCAGAACACCATGATCTATAGTCATTTTTTTAACAATTCTGCGACTTTTATTACTCAATAATTCTGATTATTTATTCAAGGTCAGTGGTAGTGTGGTGAGTGCTACTTATAATCCGATATAAGTAGTATATCAGAAAAGTAACAATATGTTTTGCACACTGGAAAGAGCAATCCAAGAAGAGAACTATGAGAAGAATGTTGTCATATGATGCAGAATCCAAGAAGCTATCGAATGTGACGATATTCGACCAATTCGTCAAGGATGTGGTAAATGATGTGCAAATGGCTGTTTGAAAGTATGGTATACCAAATTTACCTATGTACAATACGTTTCCCTAAGGAACACTCCCTCCGTTGGTTCTCGCAGTGACGCTGACGAATCATCTGCGACGCGCGGTACCCACCCTGGACGAAGATTCATTGGAGCAGTTGCTCGCATCTCAGTTCCTCGAATGCGTCCCGACAAATATCGCTCATCAGTTCAGCTATTAACGCAGCTCAAGCAATGGGTGTTTTTGAAATGGCAAAGGTGACAAGGCAGATAATGACTTCGCATGTTGCTCCAGTGATGACGGAGTGCCAAGATTCCAAGAAGATGAAGACCAAGTTGAAGAGTTGAAACAGCAGGTGGCGGCTATGCAGATAATGAGAAGATCGAGGAGGCTGGAGGGAGTGTTCCTTTAGGGAAACGTATTGTACATAGGTAAATTTGGTATACCATACTTTCAAACAGCCATTTGCACATCATTTACCACATCCTTGACGAATTGGTCGAGTATCGTCACATTGGATAGCTTCTTGGATTCTGCATCATATGACAACATTCTTCTCATAGTTCTCTTCTTGGATTGCTCTTTCCAGTGTGCAAAACATATTGTTACTTTTCTGAATTCGCTTTCTGATATACTACTCATATCGGATTATAAGTAGCACTCACCACAGTAGAGTTGAACGGGTTGACTACCATGCTTTAACTTTTCTAGATCAGCATACATCATGTACAGAAAGAATCTATCTATGGTATCAATTTGAAGTTTATCACCTAATACAAGAACTTATCATCTGCAGCTACAACTTATCGTCAAGTTTCGACTTGAAGCATCGTTCAACCAAAAGAAAAGAACAATTTCTTCCTTTATTTGCGATTAACAAATTGCTCAGCATCTTTAATAAACAATAAAATGTATTTTCTTATATTTTGTACAAATTAATCTCATATTTTCTGGAAAAAATTATTTTGCTTGAGGGAAAGGGAACAAAATTGAGTGAACAATACATTTTTCAATATAGATCAATAATGATTGTGAATTAGAATTTTTCGCGTAATCATTCTCCGTGGTTATTTCGTTTAAATACAGGCACATTTTAAAAAAGCACTCGATTTAAATAGATTTAGTAACAAATTTTGTTCAAGAAATATTTAGAGATTTTTAGAAGTAGAAAAACAATAGCTTTGTAATGTTCAAAATTCAAGGAAAGTGTTTCTTTTCCTTTGCTGTATAAAAAAGATAGTAGAAGAGCTTAATTGCTGAAAAGAACGAAATCAGGGGGTACATGTGTAAACAGACAGATGGTTGACAGCAAAGCAAAGAAAAGTATCTCAGAGAAACATCTTACAGGTTATGTAATATTTTAAATGACGATTCTGTGACAAAATGCCTTGTAAGCATATTCGCTGTTTATTGGGTGATAATTTATTAATAATAATGAATTCTTAGTTTATGGTACATTGGAGCCAAGGACTGGAGATCCGTGCTTTCCAGACGATGCCTTTGGTGACTTTTTATGCTTTTTACTGCCAAGACCGAATACACCAGCAACAGCTGATTTAAAGAACATACCTTTCACATCATCAGGATAGAATCCATCACCAGCATTTGGAATACTCTGATGTTGAGGGATTTGTCGAGATTTAGAGGAACTTGGACCACCGAAACACTCTAGTCTGCTAGAAAGTAGCTTCCTGTGCTTCAATGAAGCTTCTTTATTAGAATTCTGTGTTTGTTTGAATTGCGTGGGTTGTACACTAGGACTTGTTGCATTCTGAACGAGGGAGTTTGGTTTATTATCATTTTGTTGTGTATTCTCCCATATCAAGTGTTTAGATACCTGTTCACCAGAAGCCCCTGACTTTATTAATGCAGCTTCATGATTTCTATTTGTTGGAATAATTACTGATGTATGTTGAGGGATTTGATTTGAAACAGGATAACGGTCTTCTCCACAGTAGCCTGTAGCTGGTAGCATCACTTGATTATACCGAATGAAGTTAGCGCCTAAAAAGACATAAAGAATATATACGTCAATCTTTTGCTGAGAAAAAACACTTTATTCATGAGATCAATGACTAAAGTAAATAAAACAAAATTAGCAAAAGTTGCTGCTAGCTGTCTTCAACCACTATTCACCAAATAAGCACGCTACAGTGACAAGTTATTTAGTTTACTAATCAAAGCTGTTTGGTCACCATTCAAAAGTAAACAGTTACTTTTCAGTGACCACTTTATGTAGTGAAACAATAATCTGCTTAGAAATGTTCTTCATTACTGTATATGATGGTTAAATATTTTCTACAATTAAGTTACATATCTAATACACAGACTTCAGTCAGCACACAGAACATAATAATAATAATAATCACTTTATTCCACAACAATAACAATTTACAGCATGGAATTTTCAGCGTTTCATTTTACATATTGCATTGGTTTAGCTCTGTTTATAATTATATAAATGTATAAAATTTTAAAAATAGTAATAGTTAATAGGAAAAATAAAAACCCCAACAAAATACACCATTTCTAGGTCATAGTGAATAATAAATAAATAATATAACAAATCACACATGCAATAATATACATCATTACATTTTTTAGTTTAGTTAATGATTTAGAAGTTGTAAAAGTTCTTTTCTGATATTCGTCTCTTCACACAATACTCGTGCCAAATATGGTACGGTCGAATTTTTATATTTTGTAGTACGAGCATAAATGTTTATGAAATTTCTTCTGGTCTTACCCGAAGAGATACAAGGAAACAAATGTGAATAAAGAGGATGTTCACTATCAGACAAAATAACTTTAGCTAAGTGTTTACAAGAATTCATGTGCTTATTGACAACAGTGTCGGTTAGTTGAGTCAAAGGGATAGCACTGACCCTACTTACAGCCCTCAATGTTCTTCGTAGTATTATATGGTCTTTTTTGAGCAGCCCAGGGAAGAATAATGGGGAACAATAAAGAATAATGGGCAAAACACATGAATTAATAAATTGTATGAGAAGAGATTGGGTTATACCTGAGTGCCTCAACTTCTTTATGTAATAAGTCAGACGGAAAACTTTCGTAGAAACTATAAGAATATGAGACGACCAGCAAAGGTTTGAAGAGAAACTAATGCCAAGATAAGAAACACTTGACTTACTCTCTATCATGGTACCATCAATATTACAACAATCATGAGATTGGATCAATCCATGCATGTCTTTTTCATTTCTCAAGCTGAAATCAACAGTATTACATTTAGTTGGATTTAGTTTAAGACCATTTGAGCTAGACCAATCCTTAACTTCAGCTAAGAAGCCATTCATATGGGAACAATCCGATGTGGAAACTACAGGGACAGAAACGGTCAGATCATCAGCATACTTAATGAAGTTAACGTTAGGTGAGTTCGGAAGGTCATGCAAAAAGAAAGAGAAAAGAAATGGAGAAAGTACTGCTCCTTGAGGCACACCACTTTCAGTTAGCTGAGAAGTGGAGCGCTTTCCAGACAAAACAGTATGCTGTTTCCTATCCTTAAAATAAGAAGACAGCCATCTAGTTGCCCAGGACTCTGTCTGTGCTGAAATCATCTTTCTTAATAAAAGTGTCCTAGGAACAGAGTCGAAAGCTGCAGTATAGTCTAAAAAAGCTGTTCGAACGAACTTAGCACCCTTATCAAGGCAGGAAACAATATTGTGGTGTAGTACAATGGCTGCATCTAATGTACTTCTTCCACATTTATAAGCAAACTGCTTAGGGTCACTAAAAGCTTTTAAAGAAGGTTTAAGAGTATTCAAAAGAAGTTTCTCCATAGTTTTCAAAAAAGGAGATGTTATAGCGACCGGTCTAAACTTTATACCTGCTCCAGATGATGATTTCTGTACAGGTACAACCTTGATTTCTTTCCAGTCAGCAGGTACCGTTTCCTTGTTGAATGATGCATTAAAGATTTGAGTAAGAGGATGACACAAGATGTCTGCACACTTCTGAAGAAGAATGCCTGGTACACCATCTGGACCAAGGCTGTGTGTTGGATTTAAAGATTTCAAACATAATAGTACATCCTCTTCTTTAAAACCCGGAAAATTACCATTATCTTGACTAGTTACATCAGGTACAGGTATATTAATTTGTTTCATGATAAATGATTTGTTTAAAGCATTAACATCAGAATAAGCATCAACAGACATTTGTTTTTTACTTGTAAGTTTATTGAAAAGTTTCCAAATGTTTGAAGGATTTTTACATGATAAAAATTTTTCATTATATAGTCTGTTCAATCTTTCTATTTCAATTTTTATAAGGGTGTTTATTTTACGGACACCAGTATTATCACAATTTTTATACAACTTCTCTTTTTGTCTTCTAAGTTTTTTCAGCTGCAAAGAAGAGATTCTGTCAAATCTCGAAAACAGTGTTTCATATGGACAGCAAATATCCAAACAAAACTTCAGATAATCGGTTATATTAGAGACAGTAGCATCCAACTTATCGTCAGTAAATAGTTCCCAGTTGGTATCATACAACATGCTTCTTAGTGCTAGAATGTTATCATGGGAATATGAACGTTCATGTATCTTCTTTGTTAAATGACTAAACAATTTTTGTTGTTGTAACTTGCCGTACACTTTCGGTAAAATACGAATAATGCAGTGGTCAGAGTTTAACAAAGGAGCTCTCCTTCTGGTTTCATATACATCACGGTCGTTTATGAAAACCAGGTCTAGTGATTTGTCCAGACGTGTATTAAACTTGACTAGATTCTCATGACCAAGTGAAGTAAGAAAGCTGTGATCACATGAATTAAAATCACCACAGACTATAGACAGCGAGTTTCCGAATGCAGGAGCAGCGAATTCAGTAAATTCATCTGCAAACGTAACTATATTTGAAAGGCTACAATTGGGTGTTATGTAGATATTTGTTATGTATATGTAAGAATATTTACTTAAGTGTTTTGGGCGACACCTGACGGTTATGCAGTCTATATTGTCACTAGAATAATTGAAGCAAACGTGATTTGATGTAGACCAACTTGTGTTTATAAAAGTGGCTACCCCTCCTCCACATTTTTTCTTAGAACTTTTTCTATCTTGTCGAAAAACTTTATATCCATTTATTGAAACTAGATTATCATCATAATGCTGGTGCAGCCAAGTCTCTTGTATTGCTAAAACGCCAGCGTTTCGATAAACATTAGAATACATTAGGGATTGAAGATAATCCATTTTGTTGGACAGGGATCTACAATTAGTGCTAACGAGTTCAGGAATAGTCATTTGATTAATTTGTGTACGTTTCAGTGCACGCTGCCATCCACAGTGATGCTTTTTTCTCAATTTTTGTGGATGACACAACGCAGTAGGTTGTAATGATTTTAAAAATGCGCGATTATAAATAATACGATTAGAACACATTATTGATAAATTAAAACAAAATTAAAAGAGCAAACCAAAGCAATTTTGCAAAATGTGGTAAGGTGGAATTTTTGGTAGCCCTATGTTCAAGCAGGCCGCCGAGTTGGTTGATGGTGACTGGCAGTGGAATCCAGGATGTTCATTTCATCCTATTTGTGATTCATCAGCTGGATATACCTACGTCGCCAGTAGGCGATAGTGTTCCCACCGAGACTCAAACCGTGCACCCATCATTTGGTTTTAGGCTAGTTTACACTTCCCGTTGGTTGATTATGTTAGACTGAGCCTCGTCCAGATGATGAGTCCTAAACAGACGAAATGCGTATCCTGAATTCCACTGCCAGTCATCGCCAGCCAAAATAACATAACGTTAGTCCTCGGATATCATCAAGACCTCTATACAAGGAGGCTAAATGAAAGCAGACAGTAAGCATTTCGTCCCAGCATAACCAATCAACAGGAAATGGAAATTAACCTAAAAACAGAATAACATGTAATATTTATTTAACTGCCAGTCTCTTTATTTAACCTAGTAATAAAGTGGTTCAGACATAGTACAGCCAGCTTAGAAGTAAGTTATGTGAATTTACTAGCTATTAAGAAATATTCAGAATACTCAAGAAATATGCTTTATTCAATGGTTACATACACAAATAGCTGATTATTACTAGTGAGCAATAAAATCATATTAAGGCTTACTGGCGATTTACTAGCTTCTAGAGTAACCAATATTTTTCTCTTCTCAACAGTATTTGTGTATCGTAATATCCCTAGTTTAGTTTCGATGAGTAACCCGTGCAAAAATCGATGTAACTATCAAGCTACATTTTGTCACAAATGAAAATCAATTAAAGTACTACTGAAAGACAGAAAAAACTCGGAATAGCTGCTTTATCCTAGTTTGGAATAGGAATGCAGTGAGCACCACGACACCACCAGGGATAGGATCGAAAACTCTCAGGTTACGAAGTGATTCCATTGACCGACTAGCGTGTGAGGATAGATACTCGCTGATGGTATTGGGTAGTGGTGGGATTGTGTGGTGAATTGGCATAGGTTAGAGTTCACAGATCATTCGATCCAAGCCAGGTAATTTAACAGTTAAGGAGCTTTCCTGATAACCTGAAAGTCCACGTCTGGTAGAACTATGGGTGCACTATGCTGCAGAGATCCAAACTAAAGCGAAACAGCTGTACAACGCTCCTTAGTTTTCAGCGGTTCACCCCCAAAACTTAACGATTGACAAGATACATATGCTAATATGAAGTTGGTTGTTGAATGCCTCTTCACTCTTGACATAAGTGATTTGATGATGCTTAATTTTTGTGATAGGTGTGTTAGCTTAATAATTAAAGACTTATTAGATCAGCAAATTATAATTTGCTAATCGTCATGATAGACAAAGGCTTTTAGAAACACTCTCTTTATTGTTTATATGAGAAATTAGTAAAGTGCCATAATGAAAAAGTTGGTTTGTGAAAAGGTCGCCAATCAACTAGTCCTTAATCATCAGAAAATAATCTGTAAAGGTAGTATGTTTTTTTTCAAGTATTGGTTTTGTAGGGATTTTTTTGTTTGATTGGTTGAAGGATTTCA